AGATAAAATTAAAGCAGACTCATCGATTTCTGGTTCATTTTCAATGAGAACTGGAGGAGGTGAATCATGTCGATCTTCTACAGGGCTAGGGGATCTTTTCCGTTTTCTATCCTTGACGACGTTGTTCGTATCTTGTTTCATATCTACATCTGTATCTTCTTCATGTTTAATTTCAGACATTTCTATATCCTTTCCACGTAAACGAAAATAGGTCAATGATTAAAAATAATATTTCCTGTAGATACAGTAAGATTTTTATGTAATAAAATGTAGAGGACATAATAATTTTTGAAAAACATCCGCGATCTCAACGTCCATCGACGAATTTTTCATCTCTCTATTCCAAATTTAATTTCCAAATATATAAAATTTAAAAAATTAAAATATAAACCGAAATTTATACGCTTTTAATACTTAAATAATAAATAAGTTCGTTTCAATTGCAGTCCTCTACATTTTAGTGAGATCGCGGATTACGCCACATAAAGTACATAGCAGATAAAGCTAATGAACATTGTAAAAATACAAAAATGATAGTTTCAATACTGCTAGAAAAATTAAAGCGTATTAATAAATTAAGTTCAAAATAACAGTACAAGCAATACATATATTATAATTAATTTATAAAATATACCTCTTCATTTTGTTTTTTCTCGATGCTACTGTCCATTTCTTTTTCACTAGTTGACAAGATTGTTTTATCTTCTTCTAGTAACTCCTCTTCTTTTAATTCGTCACTTTCATTGATATCTATATCTTGATCTTCTTCAAGCAACTCATTTATTTGTTGTTCTGGGTCAGGAATGTCTGCAATTTTAGTATCATTGATAGATTCTATAATATGATCATTATCTATAGATTCTATGTTTTCCTCCTCATGTTCAATAGTATCTCTTTTTGTATTTGTATCTATTTTATCACGTGCATCATTAATTATGGTTGATTTCTCATTTTCTTGTGCTTCTGGAACAGTGCTCTGACTTTCTTTTATATGTATGTTTTCTACTGTTTCTTGAGTCAGTTTAATTACTGTTAATTCTTGCTTTTGATCTGTTTCATCTTTGTCGTCTAATGACTCTTTTGAAACTGAAACATCTGTATCGCTATAATCAACTGGTGATTTTACAGAGCATACTAGTAGAATATTTGTATTCTTTTCATTTTCATCAACATTTGTATTTTTTACTTCATCGTCTTTTATAATTCTCATAGAATTTATATCTTTATTTTCTATACTTAGCAATAAATCTTTTGTTTCTTCTTGTTCATCCTTTTTAGGTGATAAAAGCTTTTCTTCTTGTATTGGAGTTACTTCTTGTACAATAGGTTCTTCCTGCGTGACTGTTTCTTCTTGCATAGAACCTTCTTCTGTTATGGCTTCCTCTGCCAAAGCGGATTCAGATATTGTAGGCGATGGTTCGCGAGACATGTCATTCTGATCTGCCTTCTTTGGAGATGTCCTTCTTCTGCTAGAATATGGGACTCTAGGAGTCCTCCTAGAGGATTTTTTTATAGGGTCTTCCTTTGGTGTCATCACAGGAGCAGTTTTTGACAATCTACTAGACTTTTTTGGTGTCTGTGGTACTTTTGTCGATCTTTCATTTTCTTGCACTGTATCATCATGCATGTCTTCTGTACTGGCATTTGCTTTTCCTTGATTTACTTCTATAATTTAAAAACATTTATGTTGCAATAACTCACGAAAAGACAGAATATTCAAAAATATAATACTCTAATGAGACGCAGCGTTTACATTAAAACATTTATTTAAATAACAGATAATATTGTAACTCTATTCCAACCGCGGATATTAATTAAAAAGCCAACGACATGATTAAAGTGAAGGTAAAATTAAATTTGCTAAATTCCAAAATCTATAAGAAACATAGTGGCGTCGTGTGCCGTTTCACACGTAAACAGAAGAAAAGCGCGCATAGATCGCGTCTACTCGACATTAAAAACACTGAAACCGAATTCCTCACGATTATCGATTAATTTTAACAGCGATAAATAGGTTATCGCCTTCCATTATAAAATAATTTGGACAGAAAAAAATAATAGCACACGTTAGGCGAATTATTACTGGCTCGTTCGAATGTTTGTCAACATTGGAGTGTACGAATACGTCGATCACGGGACGAGAGATATCGTATTTAGAAGAATATCGGACGGAGCAAAATTAGAGATTAGAAAGAGAGTGACTTACGGTTTGCATTTTCCTCTTCTATCGCCTTACGAAGTCTCTCAACAAGCACTGACTTGACGCCTTTCGTATCGAGTCTACGCTGTGAGAGTTCTGTCCGTAATTCGGCCACTTTCAACTTTTCCAGATCCATTGCGTGTTATATCTCACGATCCTTGTTAATTCACACACTCTTATTCGACAGGAAATCTTACGAGAAGCCCATACACGCGCCAGTGACCCGCGTTAAATATACAATATGGCGATACAACTGCAAACAACGCGTTACGTGTTGTAAATGGATTTTATTGGTCAATGTGGCATTTATTTGAACTAACGCCAACTTCACCGCCGATGGAATTATTTCTCCCTATTGTGGTGATAGAGCGTGGCAATTTTCATTGGTTCTCCGAAGGCGGGATTTTGTCCAATTCGACGAGAGAACATATATGTACACGAGATTCACAGAATTTGTTAGTTGCACGCAAATTTTTAATCTAAGTTGTCACGCCTGTTGAAACGTGTTATATTTTGAAGTTGGTTAAACATATAGAAAGAAAATATTTGAAAAAATTCGTAGAAATTGATAGTCATTTATTGCGAAAGAAAAAGGATCTCTCACTGTGCTTATTCTTTTATTTCTTTTCGATAATTGAATATATGTGTGATTGAAATTGTTGACTTGGTCGAACATTTTCGAGATAGAATTACTACGCCGTAACCTGAATCACACAGTGCCTCTAATATTGTTACCAATGTTTATTAAAGATTTATTAGGTTTTCATATCATCTCTTGATTTTTTAAAGAATTATATCATGACAGCAATAAATGTGAATGGGTTGCATTCTGTGGAAGGGGAATCACTAATGCATCATTTTTATGTAAGCACGTCAAAAAAAAGGAGATTTTATGGTAAAGAATTGTAATCATATAAATGATGCTTTATATTATATCTTTAATTCGTTGATCATTTTTCTTTGTAAAATTGTTTAGGTATTCTTGAAAGACCTTCTCTACCATCTTCAATTGAAGAAGTTACTTATAAAATTTTTATGGTTGGAAGATCTGGAGTGGGAAAAACTGCTGTTGTATCTCGTCTTGCTGGATTAGAAGAATCAAGTAATTATACGGAAACTAATGGGATCAAAAAGACAAATATATTTTGGCCGGTTAAGATATGGGATAAAGTTGTATTGTTTAAATTACAATTTTGGGATACTTCAGAGACAAGCATCAAAAAATATAATCATATATTGCCTGTATGTGGAATATAAAGATAAGATATATTGGAGTACGATATTCAGAAGTCATATATTATTTTAAATTTTTAGGCATGTAAAGATAAAGTAGATGCTATATGTTCTGTATTTTCCTTTGATGATGCAACAGGATTCAATGATGTCCCATATTTGATGAATACAATGGCAGCTATAAAAGAAAAACCGGCAAACATAGTGATAGGAACAAAGTAATTTGTTATGATAGAGTTTTTTTTTATTTTCTAGTAAAAATTATTAATTGATTCTTGATATTTTAGGTTTAAACCGTGGTCCAGTTCTACAATAGAAGATGCACGGATAAAAGAATTTGAAGACAAATGGAAAGTTAAAGTTATAAGAATTGATATTAATAAACCTTCCATGAGGTCTGAAATGTTTGATTGTTCTTATCAGTTGAATACTATTTGTAATATTCTTTGGAATAGAGATAAAGAATTTATATCTAAACAAATGGGACAAAACTAATCATTTTTTTATTGAATTTTTATAGTATTTCGAAGCATTTTTATACAAGATTTAATAAAGGTAAACACCTGATATGTAAGTCTTTCGCATCGATTTTCCTTCTATTCGAGTAGAATAGAATTCTGTTTTAACTTTCAGGTTAGAAAACATTTTCAATACAGTATACCTAGGGATTTTGACTACTTAGAGGTTGTCAGTATTGAAAACCAACTTTACGACTGTTACGTTCGTTTTTTGGTGGCGGCAAAGTTAACAATTGTTTCAACTTTCACTTTTCATTTTTCACTTCAAACAAAAATTACAACACTTTGAAGATTTTGAAGGTACATATACAGGTATGTTGCATGATATTTATAATTATACAACACAATCGAGAGATCATGAGTAGCATTAGATTTGCATGAGTTTTAATATTGAGGTTATAGTATTTTAATATACCGCTTTTATATTTTCTTTAGTATTGTTTATTATTAATAGTGCTTGTAAATTCAAGAAAATTTTATATATATCCATTTGTTTGTTGATAACGTCATTGAATGATGAGTTTTGATTGGTTTTTCTTTTTTTTTTTTTTTTTTTTTATTATTCACTCGTGCGCTCTGAAGCATCGTTCAGTTTACAAAGCGCGCGTAAAATAAAATACGCGTATATTGATGGACTAGTAAAATTTCTATGATATACTTTTGTTTGTAAAACTTCATTTTAGACATGAAAAGCAATAAAATTCTCTTAGTGGGGGGAGTAGTTTTTACGTCGGAAATTCTTTGGTATTTGTATAGAAGAGTTTACAATCTGTGGAATAATTACACGAATACATGCGAAGTTCCAAAAGTACAAATATCCGAATCGAGACAAAACATTTCAGAGGTCATGTTTTTTACGAATGAATCTTCTTTTTGTCGAACACATTTGTACGACGAAGAGGTCTGCTCCAAAGACAATTGTTCGGTTCAATATTTAAGGTAATGAGCGAATAATTTTTATTAATTAAAAAAAAAGATAATTCTTTCAACAATGAGCAATAAATTTAATATTATAGAAAGATAATAAGTTATATGGATCGAGCAACGCAAAGTCTGGACGTCTGTATGTATTTCTTGACCTGCCAATCATTATCAAACGCAATCGTGAACGCTCATAAACGAGGTGTACTTGTTCGAGTAATAATGGATCGACGCATGAGCTCTAACGTTGCTACGCAAACGGTTTTATTTTATAACAACGGTGATTATTGGGATTTGTAATCGCATATAATGAACGCATTTATTATGAACAACATTAATTCCTTTCTTTAAAAACGTCGAAATTATTTGTGTTTCAGGAGTCGCGATCAGATTAGCATATGAGGATAATCTGATGCATCATAAGTTTCTAATTGTGGACAATGCTCTGGTAATTACCGGTAGTACGAATTGGACTATGTCTGCATTTTTTGGGAATTTCGATCACGTGATAGTGACTAACCAGCACTCGTTGGTGAGGCCATTTGTTGATGAATTTGATAGGCTGTGGAAGATATTTTCGCAATCGCAAAAATATTTGGAAGATCTGCCTTCAGCCTTTCTTCAATCTTCCTTCAATGACAGTGTATAATCTCATGAGTATTCGTTTCGTTCTTACAATTTTCCTTTTCTGATAGTTGAACAATTTCCGAATGGTATACTATATTTGTCGAGTCTCTTCTTCCTGATACCTAACGAAAGACATGTTAGCGTCTGGAGAGCGCTCCTTTGACGTCAAAGAAACCGAAAGAGAGATCGTAAAACTCGATGGTATGTTAGTAGTAGGAGGATATATCCCCACATACTTATGCGGGGATATATACTTGTGAGATGGTAGAATGATGGTACCAGTCAACATGTGAAATAGCGCGATGCAAATTGGTACGGTGTTTCGAGCAGCGATCGACGCGATACGTTGCGTCCCGACACGACATGACGTATGGTAACTTGCTGCTCTCATCGGCCGATAAAAGTGGAACATTGTCCGTATATATAAATAGGTTAGCCTGTATGAAAATAGACGTCGGGCTGTTGGACCGGAGGATCGATGACGAGATACTCGGCGACGAGCCGTCCGTTGCCTCAACTTTCTTTCCTTTCCTCTTTGCTTTGGGATTCACGGTCTTGGTGTGTCGTCATTACGCCTCTGAGATTTTGTCCTGTCATTTTTTTCTTTCTGCTTTCGAATTTATTTTCGTTATTTTATACTTTCGTACAAATTCTTAGAGTTTGGCTATAGACCCTGGCTATCGGATTAAGACGACAAGACAAAAAATTTCACTTCTCTAAGTGTAGGAGATCATGTACGCACATCATGTAGATGATTATGTGTACGTAGTAGTTAATTAATTTATTTAATTTATGTGCCATTTGAAATGCCAACGCCATTGAAAATATTTTGGAGCCTGATCAAACCTGTGCACTAGTCTTTCAAAAACAGCTGATTTGAAAACAGAGATTCAGTGCGTTTAATCAGGACGTAAAGGCAATGCATAAAGGAAAGAATATGTATAATAAAAGAACACAGATTATTAGCACGTGTATATATAACATCTTGGTAACATCACTATTATATCATTATAATATAATAAACTTTATTGTTAGAATTCGCTCATATCTCTCAGTTTTACTAGAAAAGTGAAAAACATTGGAAATTCTTAGTGATCCTAATTACATGATCAGTAGAGTGTAGTGTCTATATAGATTTGTCCCGAACTGTACCCGACTGTGGGGAATATAATGGAATCAAATATAGATTCAAATATACCGTTCTCTAATTGTGTTTTCGCTATCTGATATTATTCTTGGATGTACGCAGGTAAACATGTTCCTACACGAGATAAATACATTCGCACGCTGTAGGAGAAATATGTAACTTGGGAAAGCAAACGATTCAGAATAAACGTGCGACGCGTGGAAATAGCAACGCGCAAGCCCGAAATATCCATTGTATCCAGATACGATAAAAGCACCGAACGCAGTTTGACGTTTGCTAATATGCTTTTTCCTGGACCGCATCTACGTCAATAGTAGGAATGTATCGATATTTTGGAAAACGTACAGCTTTTTGGCTTAATCGCTGCTTGTTTGACTTACAGGAACAGAATTTTCAAAACATCGTTCGCAATTCCGCGAATCGTTCGCTTTTTTCTCGAATCGTGCAATAAATTTCCCGATCCCACTTCAGCTTCCACCGGATAAGTTTGAAGAAGATCCACGCACACGGCATGGAAATCTTTCTCGTTAAATTCAAATTGCATCTGGCAAAAGAATGTGTTTCTCTGTTTACGTCGATATTTGTTCTCTTCTTCTTGTCATGTTTGTCAAGAAGCGTCAGTTTCTTGCGCATCTGCTCGTGAAAACGATTCATTACAGTAGAAAGCAAGTACAATACTTGACAAACGGAGGAAAATAGGCGGCTCGTAGGTCAAGGGTGTATCAAATCGGACAAGTGGCACGTTCGCGATGGCCGCGAGAGTCATGAATTCGGGAGAAAGAAAAGGTCAAAGGTCAAGTATCCCTCGATGGCCCTCTTAGTTGCTCTCTTTTCTATTCGAGACGCGGAGATTGAAGGACAAACAAGAAAGAAAAATGTTTCGCGCACAGGTAGCAGCTTCGCTCGTTAAAACTCTGCGGGATATGCCACGAAATGCGAAACCAGCTGTATTTTTATACAACCTTCCCTCCCTGCCAACCCTAACCAAGGGAACAGATTCTTTTCAATAATCTTCGTTTGAATAACTTTTTTTTTTTTTTCTTTTTTTAATAACTTGTAGCTTGTTTAGAAGAGAGACAAAGAGTGACTCGAGGGAATACCGCGCCTCAAAAATTATCCGACAGATTATTCCAATTGTTTGTGTTTAATATGTTTATTTCAATATCGTTTATATAGAAAACATTGCTTCGCGTTAACGGAGGCCTAACGCGTTGTTGCTGCGCATTTCTTCGTAACGATTTTTTTTT